GTTCCTGTGTAACAGGCTCAAGGAAGGGGGTGCTGAATGGCCTCCTGCTCCTGTGTAACAGGCTCAAGGATGGGTGCTGAATGGCCTCCTGTTCCTGTGTAACAGGCTCAAGGATGGGTGCTGAATAGCCTCCTGTTCCTGCGTTCCTGTTTACCTAAGTAATGAGAAAAGGGAACAGAAAGACTTGATAAGGCACCAACACTGCTCCTGACTGTGCCTCCCAAACCCTCTGTTAAACAGAAGGCTAAAATGAGACAGAGATAGGAACAGAGAGATTCATCCTGGTTTCAGTCGTATTCGGAGTGTTCATGGGAGCCACATGGAGATTTCCCTTCCAACTTTTCCAAATAACATCAAGTTAATCCCTAACAAAGCAGTCACAGGTTCAACCTGACTCACACGACTAAATCAGGACAGAGGAGGGATAATGGGCTGTAATGGGTTGGGGTGTCAGCAATTTTGAGAGGGTCTTGTTATGGATTTCAGGTGGGGATAGTTCAGGCGTAGTGTCATTTATCAGGCTATGTTGAGTTTGGATTGTGAAACCTTGAAGGCTTCACTCTCTCATAACATCTCTGACACCTGAAGCTTACTGCAGGGCACAGTGAGAGACAGCAGCAATGCCGAGCTGGGAATTTCAGATCCAGCTTCTCGTACGCTGTGAAAAATAGGATAGATCCTCATTTCTAAATGCAAAACTTTCCTGTGTATAAATCCTTTCAGACAGGATGTCCTGAAGCACCCTACAACCAATACAGTGCCTTATTTTTTTTTTTAGAAATGGTGAAGAGGTTTAAACACAGCCCTGACGGCCTCAAGGGGTGGAACCCATGACTTCTGCAGGGAGCTTACTGAGCCAGCAGAACCTAGCATTTTTCACCCAAGCACAGCTATCCTGGGCTAACGTTAAGTACATCAGTGTACACAATGATGTGCACAGAAACACACACACCACACCAAAACAGGTACACACACTCCCACTGTTACATGCGTGTGCACACACACCCACCCACAGGCACACACTCCCTCACACAAATGGTTGGACAGCACGCCTGCGCGACCAGGCTTGTCAGTGCATGCACAGCATGCAGGATGACTGGGAGCGACGTGCAGTGAGGTGGCAGTACCTCACCGGGAATGTCTACCGCGCAGCGGGAAAGGCCAGCGAGGAGCTCGGAGGCATGGCCAGCCACTTACCTTGAAGAGCTCCAGGTTTGCCACTTTGTTGCGGTCTTCGTACCTGCCATTGGCCCTCGGGCTGGACGCCTCATTGTCCGACAGCACAATGATATCCGGCGAGGGGGTGCTCCGCTCTCTATCCGCGTCGCTGCAGGGAGCCGAAGAAGGCACATGTCATGTCCCTGTCTTGTGGAAGACTCCTCCCCTGACCCCGCACCCGCTGGGGAGCTGCTCTGACGATATGAATTGCAGGCAGGTAGGTGGTGGACATTAACTGGAGATGCATTTGAGATTCTATGCAGAATGTAGGAGGAGTATAAAGTTCTCAGTTGAGGTGAGAGGTGCAAGCATTCGAAGGGACACCTCCATTTGTCAATGGAGCCTGCTGAAGGCGCACACTTGCCTGGAGAAGTGCCGCTTCAACAACACTCGAGAAGCTCAACACCATCCACAATAAAGCAGCCCCCGCTTGACTGGCACCACACCCACAAACATCCACGCCCTCCAACACTGACACTCAGTTGCAGCAGTGTGTACCATCCATAAGATGCATGCAGAAATTCACCCATGATCCTCAGACAGCACCTACCAAACCCACGACCACTTTCATCTAGAAGGACAAGTGCAGGAGATACATGGGACCACCACCCCCTGCAAGCTCCCCTCCAAATCACTCACCATCCTGACTTGGAAATATATTACTGTTCCTTCACTGTCATTGGGTCAAAATCCTGGAATTTCCTGCTGAATGGCATTATGGGTCAACCCACAGCACATGGACGACAGCGGTTCAAGAAGGCAGCTCACCACCACCATCTCCAAGGCAACCAGGGACTGGTGAGAAATGCTAGCCAGCCAGCGACACCCCCACCCCCACCCCACCAATGAATTCAAAGCACACCATACATTCTGTTATCATCCTATAACTTGAACCTTCCAACTGCAAATTAACGTGTAGACTCCACATGCTGGTAGCTAGTCAATATCGCCCACCCCCCCACCCCTCCACATCGATATGACCTGAATCCCCCCAGGACTTGGTAAGGCAAACCAGGGCAGGATTTATAGTTAATGGTAGGGTCCTGGGGAGTGTTGCTGAATAAAGAGACCTTTGGGTGCAGGTTCATAGTTCCTTGAAAGTGGAGTCGCAGGTAGACAAGGTGGTGAAGAAGGCATTTGCCTTTATTGGTCAGTGCATTGAGTGTAGGAGTTGGGATGTTAGGTTCTGATTGTACAGGGCATTGGTTACGCTACTTTTGGAATACGGCATTCAACTCTGGTCTCCCTGCTACAGGAAAGATGCGCAGAAAAGATGTTGCCAGGGTCGGAGGGTTTGAGCTACAGGGAGAAGCTGAATCGGCCGGGGCTATTTTCCCTGGAACATTGGAGGCTGAGAGGTGACCTTTAGGTGAGGGGCATGGATAGGGTGAATAGACAAGGAGCAGGATGATGTGGTGGTTAAGCAGCTGAAGATGGAAGGCCATAAGGCCATGGACAGGCTGTAGATGCTGGCCCTGTGCTACTCCCCAGGGTGAGGGGGAGAGCAAAACTATAGGGGCATAGGTTTAACGTGAGAGGTGAAAGATTTAAAAGGTACCTGAGGGGCAACTTTTTCACACAGAGGGTGGTCAATGTATGGAATGAGCTGCCCCAGGAAGTGGTGGGGGCTGGGACAACATTTAAAAGTTATCTGGATGGGTATATGAATAGGAAGGGTTTAGAGGGATATGAGCAAAAGGCTGACAAATGGGACTTAAGATATCTGGTCGGCATGGACGAGTTGGACTGAAGGGTCTGTTTCCATGCTGTACAACTCTCTGAATTCTGACCCACTCCCTGCCCTCCCCCCCCCCCCCCCCCCTCTCCCTCTCACACACACACCCCACTGCTTCTCTCTTCCCCCCCACCAGCCCTGGGCTGACGGCTTTTACCTCTTGTGCGCACTCATGTCGACCGGCTCATCCCCCATGTTCTCCTTGCCCACTTTGCCCACGCTGCGGATTTCCAGGCGGGGCTTCAGACTGCCGTTCAGCTTCTCCTCGCCCACCTTCTGGTGCTCTGGTTTGACCACCAAGTCCTGGGGCATCTCGGGGCTGGCCATGTCCTTGCGTTTCAGCAGGGCCAGCATCTTCAGCCGCTCCATGGCCTCATGGCCTTCCATCTTCAACCGCTTAGCCACCACGTCATCCCGCTCCTCCGCACGGTCCAGGCCTCGCTTCAGCAGGTGGAGCCTCAGGGCATCGTCCGTCATTCTGTCCATGCTGCTGTCGCTGCTGGGTCAGGGTCGGGGTGGGGGGAGCAAAGGCACAGAGATTAGTTTCAACTACAGGCCCACGGTGTCGTGCTCTTGGCATTTACCCAGCAACATTCAACATTTTGCAGGAGCTTTATACAGCAAAACTGAACACTGAGCCAGGTGAGCCGACAGGAAGTCAAATCCTCACCCAAGGGGAGCACTTTAAAGGAGCATCAGAAAATAAGGAAAACAGACAGAGAGAAAGAGAGAGGTGTAAAAGAGGGAGAGAGAGAAAAAGAGGAGGGAGGGGTTTAGACAGAAAGAAAGAGAATTCATAGAATCCCTACAGTGTGGAAACAGGCCATTCAACCCAACAAGTCCACATCGCCCCTCCGAAGAACATCCCAGCCTGACTCATTCCCCTACCCCTGCATTTCCCCATGTCTAACCCAAACATCCCTGGACACTACGGGGCAATTTAGCATGGCCAATCCACCCTAACCTGCACACCTTTGGACTGTGGGAGAAAACCCATGCAGACATGGGGAGAATGTGCAAACTCCACAGAGACAGTTGCCCAAGGGTGGAATTGAACCTGGGTCCCTGGTGCTGTCAGGCAGCAGTGCTAACCACAGGGAGGGAGAGGGATTTAGGCACAGAATCAGAGTCTTGGAAACAGACCCTTCAGTCCAAATCATCGATGCTGACAAAGTTTCCCAGTCCCTTATGCGTGTGTTTCGCTCATACCCCTCTAAACTTTTCCTATCCACGCACCTGTCCAAATGTCTTTTAAGTGCTGTAACTGTACCAGCACCCACCACTTCCTCTGGCAGTTCATTCCACATACGAACAACCCTCAATGGAAAAGTTGCCCCTCAGATCCATTTTAAATCTTTCTCTTCTCATCTTAAAATTATGCCCTCTAGTTTTGAACTCCCCTAGGGAAAAGACATTTGCTATTCACCTTATCTATGCCCCTCATGATTTTATAAACCTCAACATCATACACTCCAGGGAAAGAAGTCCTAGCCGATCTAGTCCCTCCATATAACCCAAACCCTCAGAGAGAGGGGGAGAGAGACAGAGTGAGTGAGTTGGGGATGTGAGGTTTAGGCAGAGGGAGAGGGTTTAGGCAGAGATAGAACAGGTGTTTAGGCAGGAACTGAAATGGCCTGTATAAATACTGTAACTGGTCAGAGGCTGGGAATCCTTCAACGTGTAACTCATCTCCTGACTCCCCAAAGCCTGTCCTTAATTGACAAAGCGCGAGTCAGGAGTGTGAGGGAATACTCTCCACTTGCCTGAATGGGTACGGCTCCAACAACACTCAAGAAGCTCGAAACTATCAGGACAAAGCAGCCTGCTTGTTTGGTACCACATCCACAAGCATTCACTCCCTCCACCACCGATGCTCAGTAGCAGCAGTGTGTACCATCTACAGGAAGGACTGTGGCAACTTGCCAAAGGTCTGCCAACAGTACCTTCCAAATCTATAATGTGTACCCCCTAGAAGGGGGAAACTGACATGCAGATAGCAGCACAACACTGAACACTGCACAGATTTTGACGATTGAAAAGTCCACAAGTTAGACCAGTGGGGCCTATGCACACAGTTCCAGTCTCGACATTACTTAAAAGGATGGTGAGGCATTGGAGAAGGTACAGAGTAGATTGACACAGAGGATACCAGATCTGACAGGGTGCAATTATTAGGAAAAGCCACAGGCTCACCACCTTTTGTTAGAACACAGAGGACTTTAAGTTCATAAAACAGATTGATAAAATGAACATAGAGATGTCTCCAATTGTGAGTGAGGTCAGAACTTGGAGCCTCGGCATAAGACAGTCAGAAATGAATCCAATCAGGAATTCAAGAGAAACATCTTCACTCAGACTGTGGTGAGAATGTGTATCTCTACCCCCCTACCTTCTAACCTGGTTTCCCAGCTCACGTTAGCAAGCTCTGCCTTTGTACCCTTATGATTATTTTGATGCAGGTTTAAAACATCAGTCTTAGATCTACTTTCCCCATCTTTAAAGTGAACATGTAATCCTATCGTGTTATGATTGCTGTTGTCGAAGAAAGTCCTCTACGATGAGATTATGGATTCATTATACATTACCAGGCTGAGAATATCCTGTTCTCCAGTTGGCTCTTGAATGAACTGCTCAAGGAAATTGTCCCAAATACACTCTGAACTCATATCTGGGTTATTTTTGCCAATCTAGTTTGCCCAACCTATATGTAAGTTTAATTGACCTGTGATGATTGTATTAACTTTACACACCCCACTTCCCGCTTCCTGTATACTCTGCCCACCGTGTAACTACGGTTATGTGGTCTATAACAGCTCTCACAAATGACCTCTAACCATGCCTACTTCTTATCTAGAACCCAACCATTTCTACATGGCGCTCATTCAAGTGGAGTTCATCTCCGACAATCAATGCTGGTTACATTCTTAATTAACAGAGTTGCCTCTTCACCCATTCCCAGCTTACTATGTTTTCAAATTGCAAGAAATTAGTATGCAGGTACAAAAATTGATTAGCAAGGCTGATCTGATTGTGATCTCAGTTCCACTTTGCTCCCTGAGCCCATAATCTTTGACTGTCAGAAGTCTACCTAACTCATTCTTGAATAAATTCAATGACCCAGCCCCCACAACCCTCAGTGGAAGAGAACTGCGCAGACTAACAAGCCTCAGAGGTATATTGCAAGGGGAACAGAATTTCAAAGTCAGGATGTTTTACCCCATCTGGAGTTCAGGGTACAGTTCTGATCTCCTTATTTGAAAAAAATACATAATCGCCTTCAGAGAAGCTTCTTTTGATCCATTAGGCTAGCACATGGCTCAATGGTCAGCACTGCTGCCATACTGCGCCAAGAACCTGGGTTTGATTCCAGCCTCGGACAACTGTCTGTGGGGAGTTTGCACATATCCCGCTACCACCCCCAGCCCCCACATCATGTCTGCGTGGATTTTCTCCGGGTGCTCCAGGTTCCCCCCACAGTGCAGGTGAGAGTGGATAGGCCGTGGGAAATGCAGGGTTACAGGGATAGGGTGTGTCTGGGCGGGACATTCTTTGTACGGTCGGTGTGAACTCAATGGGCCCAATGGCCTGCTTCCACACTGTAGGGATTCTATGATTCCTGGAATGAAGGGCTTATCCAATGAAACAAGGTTGAGCATTTGGACAGTTGTCCACTTGAAATGCGCAGAATGGGAGGTGGTCTTATTAAAACATACGAGATCCAAAGGGAATTGGACAGGGCGGATAGCAGAAGAATCTCTCCTCATGGACGAGGCCAGAACTACGGATCACAGTAAAAGGACACCTTTTCTAATTCCATTTTCAGTTTGTGGAATTCTTTTCTACAGAAGGTAGCAGAGGCTGGTTTGTTAACGTGAGTTAGATAGATTTCTAATAGTCAAGGGTCGTGGGAGATAGGCAGCAAATTGGAATTGAGACCACAATCGTGACTTTACTGAATGGCAGGGCAGATTCGAGGGGCCGAATGGCCAAGTTCTGGAACCAAGTCCCATGGAACTTGCACCTGGACAGAGTATTTGAGATGAAAAGCAGACATGCATTGAAGGGGAAGCTAGACAAACACACAAGGGAGAAACAAAGACAGAAATCTGGTAGTGGGGTGGCGGTGAAGATGAAGAGGGGAGTATGTGCAGCATGGAGCAGACAGGCCAAATAGTCTGTTCCTGTCCTGTGCAGTGTAACTTTATAAAGCTACTAACTTTGGGATATCAACAACGTCTCCTCACTCTCACACAAGGCCCACATTCTTACTGTTGAATGTAATTACCTCAAAGTAGCATTTAATTACAAGGAACAGTGCTCTGTCATTTTAATTAAAAATAGCTTGTCGAGAAAAGGTCTGCACTCCTGCTCACTAAACTGCTGGGCCATGACTGAATCTGATAGCCCCTCTTCTGGGACAACTGGCTACTTGTGTTTAAAGCTCTGAAAGGGATTCAATAGAGTAAATGTAGGGATGTTCTACTTGAGAGGGTGCCGTGGACACACAGCGAGCAGGGCATCAGCAGTCACGAATAAATCTAATTGAGAGTCAGGAGAAAGGTCTTCCCACAGAGAGAGGGGAGAATGGCAGACTCACTCCCATGGGGAACGAGGGATGTGCTCCCGCAGGGTGTCGGCGGGGGGGAGACTCGCTCCCCCGGGGTGCAGTACAGAATTGGGGTGGGGTTGCGGTGGAGGTGTAGCTCGCTCCTGCAATGAGCAGGGGAGAAGCGTGGGGCGTGGTGGAATGGATGCACTCCCACAGGGAGTATGAAGTGAGAATGGGGAACTCTCTTCCATGGGGCATGGGGGCGAATGGGGTCTTGTTCCTGTGGGGAGTGGAGAAGAACGGGAGACTCTCTCACAGGGAGTGAGGGGGTGGGGAGAAGCGGGGTACTCGCTCCTGTGGGGAGTGGGGTGGGGCGGTAGAATGGGGTACTCTCTCCCACAGGGTGTGGAGATCAATGGGGAGGTCTCGTTCCTGTGGAGACTAGGGGAAAATGGGGGCTTGCTCCCATGGGGAATGGGGGACGCGATCCCGCGGGGAGTGTTAGATAATAAGGGACACGCTCCCGGGGAGAGTGGGGGACTCTCTCCCATGGGCTGTGTGGCAGAATGGAAATAGGGGGCTCAGTGCCGCAGGGACTGGGGGCTCACTCCAATGGGGAGTGGCGAAGAATGAGGGATTTGCTCCCACGGGGAACGTGGAGGGAGAATGGGGGCTCGCTCCCGCAGACTGTGGAGGCAGAATAAGGGACTTGCTCCCGTGGGGAGTGAGTGTGGGGGGAGAACGGGGGACTCACTCCCGCGGGGAGCGTGGAGGGAGAACGGGGGACTCACTCCCGCGGGGTTTGGGGGGGGGGGGGCGGGGAGACACTCCGGCAGGGTTTGGTGGGGAGGGGGGGGAAGAACGGGGGACTCACTTGTGTGGGGTTTGGGGTCGGGGGGGGGGACAGAATGGGGGACTTGCTCCCACAGGGAGTGGTGGGAGAAGGGGGGACTCGCTCTCATGCGGTATAGTTGAGCCAAATATAACACATCATTACAAGATGGTCACTAATAATCCCCATCAGGAATTTGGGACAAATGCTTTCCTCAGGGAACGGGGCAGGGAATGTGGGACTCACTCCTACAGGGAGTAGATGAGGTGAATCACAGAGATACACTGCAGGGAGAAACTTGATAAACACACACGGGTGAGAGGAATACAAGAATAGAGAGTTGGGGGGTGATGAAGAGAAGAAACATTGGCATGGGGCAGAGAGGCTGCATGGCCTGTTTCCGTGCTGGAAGATTCTGTGCAACTTTACGATTTGCACTATTTGACATGGAGGCTCATAAAAACCGCACACCAACAAGGGAGTCAAAGGTTATCGAGGGGTAGATGGACAAGTGGAGTTAAGGCCACAGTCAGGTTAACTGTGACCGTATCAAACAGCAGAGCAGACTTGGGGCACAAAGCCGCCTATTCCCACTCCTTGTTCATACGGCTTTAACCAGGAGGCACACGAGCCACTGCTTGAGACAGGACTCTCGGTACAGAGATACCTACGCTGCACTCATTGCACACTCCCACTCATACTGAGGCAACTCTTTGTGTGAAGGCACTTGGCCGTGTTTTACTCATGAGGGGCCAGCGTATGTTGAGGTTCATATCCAAGAGAACCACACAGGAATACCCCTCCTGTGCTTCTCGATGGCTTGTGTTTTGATCTCAGTCTGTTCATTCGGCTCAGACCAGCTTCAAGTTTCATTGGTGGACACAGCACCCACAGAGCTGCATTGAGACAGTATCCATTGTAAACAATGCATAGCAGTACCATTATTGAGGGGAGGACCACACCAGCAGTGCCGTCTTTCAGTGTGACATTAATGCGATGACCCCAAATGCCCTCTGACAGGCAGCACAGTGGCTCAGTGGTCAGCACTGTTGCCTCACAGCACCAGGGACCCAGGTTTGATTCCACCAACAGGCGACTGTCTTTGTGGAGTTTGCACACTCTGCCTGCGTCTGCGTGGGTTTCGTCCAGGTGCTCCAGTTTCCTCCCACAGTCCAGGTTAGGTGGATTGCCATGGGAAATGCAGGGTAGGGGTGTGGGTCTCAGTAGGGTGCTCTTTGGTTTGTCAGTGTGGACTCCATGGACCGAATGGCCTGCTTCTACACTGCCTATGATTCTGTAACTGTATATGGTTCCATGGCAGTGTTCAAATATAGCAGGGGGCCTTCCCCCAAGTGTCTCTGATCAATACTAAGCTGCCACACCCAGTTTCTCTGCTCTTGCATCCCCATTTGCACCCTATTCTTTGCATTGTCTCCTCATGTCCTTTTAACTGAACCAAATCACACTTCTCTGCAATAGTCTTAGTACATAAATACAGAGGCTACAAGAGGTCAGAGGCTGGGAATCCTGCAGCGAGTAACTCACCTCCTGACTCCCCCGCCAAAGCGTGTCCCACCATGGACAAGGCAGGAGTGTGATGGAACACCCCCCATTTGCCCTGGATGGGGGCAGCTCCGACAACACTCGAGAAGCTCGACACCATCCAGGATAAAGCAGCCCATTTAATTGGCACCATATCCACAAGCATCCTCTCCCTCTGCCACTGACCCTCAGTTGCAGCAGTGTGTACCATCTACAAGACACACTGCAGGAATTCATCAAAGCTCCTTAGGCAGCACCTTCCAAACCCATAACCTCTACTTCCTAGAAGAACAAGGGCAGCAGATACATGGGAACACCAACCCCTCCAAGTTACCCTTCCAGCCACACACCATCCTGACTTGGAAACAGATCGGCCGCTCCTTCAGTGGGACTGGGTCAAACTCCTAGAACTCCCTCTGCAACAGCACTCTGGGTGTCTCTACACCACACAGACTCCAATCAGTGATGCCCACACCCTGTGAATAAAAAGAAATGGTGCAGAGGTGCCGGTGTTGCACTGGGGTGACAAAGTCAGAAGTCACACGACACCAGGTTATAATCCAACAGGTTTATTGAACATAGGAATTTATATGCAGAGAGATAATGGCCAGATAAATTCTGTGCCTGTGCACTTCCCTCCACTTCACCCGACGAAGCAGCAGCGTTCCGAAAGCTTGTGATTTCGAGTAAACCTGTTGGACTATAACCTGGTGTTGTGTGATTTCTGAATAAAAAGATAGCATAACCATTTCTGGTGTACACTGTTCACTGGGGAGCCTCAGTGGCAGAGTAAACCATCAATATCCCTCACCCCTCAGTATCACAACACACTGCATCCTTTCTCTTAAACACACGTAAAAATCTCTGTCCTCCCTCTCACACTCATTCTTATGTACACATTTGATGCAAAGATTTACCTCAGTCTATATACTCTCAAACACCTGATATAAAATGTCTCACACATCGTCTACACCCTCTTTTCATGTCTCACACTCAACGTTAAACTTTCTCACATGCTCTAAAATCTCTCACACATACGTCTGATGTAACAAATTCTCAGTTCACATCCTCTCTCACTCTTGCACACTTGATATCAAAATTTCTCAGTCTACATCTCTCACAATGTAAAACATTTCACACACATCCTTTTTCTTGCATGCTCAATGCAAGAATTCCTCATACACGGCCTAGCTCATTTTTCCTTAACATAATCTCCAGATAATTCTGCATGACGCTTCATCATAATGTTGCCTATCCCTCACTTTCCAGTTCCTGGGTGGCACAGTGGTTCAGTTAGTACTGCTGCCTCACAGCACCAGTCACCCAGGTTCAATTCCACCTTCGGGTGACTGTGTGGAGTTTGCACATTCTCCCTGTGTCTGTGAGGGTTTCCTCTCATAGTCCAAAGATATGCAGATTAGGGTGGAGTGGCCATGGGAAAATGCAGGAATGGGGATGAGTCTGGGTGGGATGCTGTTTGGAGAGTCGGTGTGGCCTGTTTCCACACTGTAGGGATTCCTGGCTTGATTTTACGTTTAGTTGCTGTTTCCAATAAAAATACATAGTTGCTCCTCGTTCTCTCATTACCCTCCCCCACCTCGATTTGCTCTCAGCTCTTGAAAGTTTAACATAGAAGTTGCAAAGCATCTAGTATGATCCCAGAGAAACAAAACTGAATAATTCTTATGAGCGGGCCGTTTGCTACAGACAGTCTAATGCCTGGGGTGAATCAGAAAGCTTTGCAGGAGAATACCACAACACAACATCGGGAATGGGTTTCAGCCACTAGCTTCAGACTGTCGCTGAAGGAGAAGGGTCTTTGCTGTTCAGGCCTAGTTGATATAGTTTGTTCCCTGATGCACACATATCCTTCACGTCCTTTTTCTGTAATAACTAGGTGAAAGGCATAGAAGAGGTTCACAAGGCGAAAGCACGGTCACTAGCAGGAGACTGAATTGGCTGAGGCTCTGGTCAGACATAGCTAATGGATAAGAAGGTACTTCCACGTGAGAGGTAAAGAGGGAGGAGAGTCAAACAAAACATAAAACCTAGGGCATCCCAGTTGGGCCAAACAGTCGTTTTCTGTAATTCCAACAAACTACTGAACTCTGCTCAATAAACGTGTTTACTTATACACAGAGCTGTGCTCAGAGGCATATTCTCTGCCACTCAAAGGGTTAAGAGGTTGTAATGCGCTCTATTGCTGTAAAACCTAGTACAGAAGAAAAGTACTCCGTGCTAACTGGGCTCAAGTCCATCTTCCATACTGAGGGGTAAAGGGAGGCGGGCTAGTGCAGGGGAATAAATGATTCAGAGGGTGGTTCTCTTTCTTGCCTTGCAGTCGGAAAGTTGCAGGTTCACAACCCCGCGACACAGATTTAAAATCCAAAATACAAGCGGAAGTTGCCAGTTTCGATGTCGGAGGGTCAGCACCTAGGGATCAGCGTGCTGTTGGAGGGTCAGCACCGAGGGAGCCATCTGTGTCAGAAGGTCAGCGCCGAGGGAGCTCCGCACTGTCAAATGTGCTGTTTTTTTTTAGACATGATATTAAACAGGCGCTGCCTGCTTTCTAGGCTCTCCCCGTCCTCCTGGGCTCAACTTTACATTCATCCATAAGCTGCTTGGCGACAGTAAGGGTGCTACGTAAATGCAGTACACAACAGATGGGAAGGAAATGGGAAGAGAGATGACAAATCTGGTCTGAGGTAATTGGTATGGAGAACAGGGGAGGAGTTTGAGAGAGCTCAGGAGTATCAGGAATGAGCTAATGTGGCGTGATCCCTACATATTACATGTCGGGATGTTGCTTAGCAACAGCAGCCATGTGAGGAAGGTATGGCTGGGACCTTTCATGCAAATGAGAGCGATAAGCACATTTATTCAACGGTCTATGTACCCCGACATCGACATTTTCATCTTTTGTTTTATGAACACCGAATTGATCTATTCAAAGGACTCCTGTTCACGCCGTTGTCAAAAGGGGGAATGATAGACAGATGAAATCAGTCGCTTTAATTTTTCACATCTTCCTGTGAAAAGTGGTGGGGGGTTACTTAGTGAAGGTTTAGGCCCTGGGAGGTTCACAGAGACTTTTGTCAGGGGCTGGAACCAATACTCGGAAGATCCCTGCTATCTCCAAGGGTTCATCGGCTCAGACTGGGTTGTCCGTCTGGGATAACCTTGGGGGGGGGGGGGGGGGGGGAGCACAAATGAGGCTTGGCTACTCGCGAATCAGCAATCCCATCGGTCAGCCAGCTCACGCCGCAGCGCTACACTTTCCAGGTCTGTACTCCAAACACAACAAGCAGCTCGACTCCAGCACACTGGGGATGAGGCCACTCAGTCCACATTGCTTTCAGGAGAGAGTGTGGACAGTGCTGGGACATACACCCAGGTTCAAACGGAAAGGGACTTGACAAACACATGTTTGTTTAACTAACAATCACAGAGTCCTGGTTGATGGGGACAGATTCGAGACAGCTTCACTTGGCATTTTAAAGAGTCAAGGCGGCTTCACCCTGCACTAACCCCGGCCTGTCCCTGTCCTCGGACTGTTTAATGGGGGGGAACAGTGTAGAGGAAGTTTTACTCTGTATCTAACCCTGTGCTGTCCCTGTCCTGGGAATGTTTGATAGGGGCAGGGACAGTGTAGGGGGAGCTTTACACTGTATCTATCCCTGTGCTGTCCTTGTCCTGATGGTGTTTGATGGGGGACATTGTAGAGGGAGCTTTACTCTGTAACTAACCCCGTGCAGTCCCTGTCCTGGGAGTGTTTGATCAGGGGCGGAGTACAAGAAGCTTTACTCGGTATCCATCCCTGGGCTGTATGATCCCTCATGTCTCTTAGAGAAATATACAACAGGTTGGAGCACGTAGGCCATTCTGCCCTTCAGCCCTGCTGTACCATTTAATAGGATTGTGGCTGATCTGATATGGCCTGAGCTCAATTTTCCTATTTGCCAGTCCCTATAATTCTCGATTCCATCGTAGATATCCACGTGCCCTTCAGGGAAGGAAACCTGCTTTTCTAACATGGTCTGGCCTACAAGTGACTCCAGGCTCAGGGAGATGGCGCTGTTTCTTAATAACCCTCTGAAATGGCTGAGGAAGCCTCTTTATTCAAGGGTGATTTGGGTATGCAACAAATGGTAGCCTCACCAGTGACATGCATATCCTACCACAGAGAAAAACCAGAGAGACAAAAAAAAGATCAGAAATCAGCTAGGACACCTTTCATGCTCCGAGGAGAAAGATCTTTCTTCCTCAGGACCACCTCTAGTACACACACAGGAGAGGAAATCCCTCCTGGTCTCCGTTTGAACAGGTGACCCCTCATTCTAAAAAGAAACTTCTGGTTGCAGCCAGGGGAACCTGACAACAGCAGTGGCTACAAAGAAGCTCAACCAAGTGTGGTCTTCCTGAACGGAGAGATGATGGGAGGAAGAAACATGGACTGTGCTAGGGGTGTCAATGGGGAGGTGGGAGGGGGAGGAGCAGAAATAGTCCCCATGAAGAAGGGGATGAGGAGAAATCTGACAGGGGACTGACTGACTATTTGTGCACAGTGGCTGATGGACTCCCCACTCTGCCCTGAGGTCATGCAGTCTCTAACTGATCTGTTATATTGTGTGAGAGATAGTAGGAACTGCAGATGCTGGAGAATCCGAGACAACAAGGTGCAGGGCTGGATGAACACAGCAGGCCAAGCAGCATCATAGGAGCAGAGAGGCTGACGTTTCGGGCCTAGACCCTTCATCAGAAAAGGGGGAGGGGAAGGGGGTTTTGAAATAAATAGGGAGAGAGTGGGAGGCGGATAGAAGAGGGATAGAGGAGAGGATAGGTGGAGAGGAAACAAACAGGTCGAAGAGGCGGGGATGGGGCCAGGAAAGGTGAGTGTAGGTAGGGAGTTAGGAAGGGGATAGGTCAGTCCAGGGAGGACGGACAGGTCAAGGGGGCGGGATGAGGTTGGTCGGTAGGAGATGGAGGTGCGGCTTG